GCCCAAATGGGATCCTGGAAGTTGCAAGGTGAGGATTCAGCCACTAGCTTATCATGCCAGGTCCACGACTGAATTCTGGACACATCGTTTCAAACCCTGGTCCAGTTCTGGCCATCATGACAGCTGTCACGTGAATCAGCACATGGAAGAGCTCCCTGTCTGTAGTTCTCTTTCAAGTAAGAAGAAAATAAATAAGCAAAAATTAAAGGTGAAAAGATCTCTTCACAGAAAAAAGCTAAGCTGATTTTGGCTCAAAAACTTTTCAAAACTATGCACATTTTCTCATACTATGCATTTTCACAAAGTGTTTGAAGACTTCTCATAGGTATTGATTTAAAAATTTTTTCTCACCAAAATCTGAAGCTCAGCTCCCAGGGTTCAGCTCAATGCCCATCTACACAGGCCCAGGGAGATGGCAGCGATGGCTCAGGTAACTGGATCCCCAGCACAGAGCTCCTGGCTCCTGGCACATCCCCAGCCACTAGGAACATCTGGGGAGTAAACCCCGGGGAAGCAAGCTTGCTATGTCTCTAAGTAATAATACAGAAAAAATAAAAATAAAATTAAAGAGAGAAAGAAAGTGTGATGGAGGTAGTAGGGACAGCACACTTTCAATCCCACAATTTTATAATCATGAACTTAAACCAAAAATATCCTCACATATATAGTTGCTTTATTTACAAATAAGATCACCTCACTGTTCACAGGTCTGGTAACTAAGCCATGACGCATTCCTGCCAACAACGCCATGCAGCCATGAGCCACTGCCCAGCAGCACGGTGTCCCTTTCCACCGGAGCACACGCCCGCCCTTGCTCAGAAACCAAGCAGAGGCTGATAGCAAGGGATACCCGTATTTAGTGACATGGAAAGATGCGCATGATACAGTACATGGGAAGAAAGGCTACAAACAACATGCGCTACATTTCTGCTGCAAGTGCATCTATGTGCATTTGTATATACAAATAAAAATGAGGCATTCTGGCGTCTGTGATGCTACTGACCTTTTGTGATTCTTACAAACAAGACAAGCTCCTTAGTAACTTACATCCAGATTGTCTTTCCGACTACCAGGTAGAATCTGCACACCAAGCCCTGGCTCTATTTTAACACTGAGTGGTTCAGCGACTACAAAAGCGAGCAGTCGAGAAGTGAACAAGAAAGTGTGCGTGAGAGGACCCACGATGAAGGGCCCAGTCTGAAACCAACACTTCCTTCCCACCAGGCCAGGCCTCCACATTCGACCTCTTCACTCACAGGTGCACTCAAGTCCCCAGTGCCGCCTGGCTGCCATCATGCCCCTATCCGACACATTTCAAGTCTCCGCAGTCTCTGTCTACACCAGCCCATGGTGAGGTCTCCCCTTCCTGCAAGCAGGTGTACTTCCACATGCAGACCTGCTTCAGCGAGTCACTCCCAGGTTCTCAGTTTCTAATCAGTAGCCTGGGTATCCAGAACCACCCTGGCAGCGGGATTGCCAAAGAGCAAAACACCAACAAGTGACTGTGTGCCTGCGTCTACCAAGGTAGCCGAGTGCAGATCCTGGGAAGCAGAGAGAGAAGCGGTAGTGAGAAGCAGCAACCAAAACCCTTGCCTTGCACTCTGTAGATAAGGGCAGCAACAAAGTGCAGGGGCTTAACCAGGCAAGCTGCCCCGGCTGGCTCGCTCACCAGCAGGGCACAGACACTTCTCTTTGCCCTTGCCTCTTCTTAATTGGGGTTTCCTTAAGCTAAGAGTGGCTCCTCACATTTTGGCCACATACAGAAATACCTCTGGGAGGACTTTTCTTTTTGTTCCGCCTTGCAGCTCCTCAGAACAAGGACAATGCCTGGAGGTGTTGTGTAGCACATTACACCTCTGCTGTAATGCCAGCATAGCACATGGGTTCAAATCTTGGCTGCTCCACTTCCAATCCAGCTCCCTGCTAATGCACGTGGGAAAGCAGCAGAAGGCGGCCCAAGTGCATCCACATGCGAGACCTGGATACAGTCCCAGGTTCACGGCTTCAGACTGACTCTTCAGCTCCCGCTGTTGCAGCCATTTGAGGTGTCAACCAGGAGATGGAAGATCTTCCTCTATTAACTCTGCCTTTCAAATAAGTAAATAAACTTTTTTTAAAAAAGTGAGAGAGACAGACAGACAAGCCAAATGGAAAGGGGAAGCTGGATTCCGGGCATGACAGCACTCCACAGACCCAGTCTGACCACTTCCAGACTTCTTGCTTTATCAGAAAAACAACTTCCTGTGAGCATGTTAAAGCCACCATGCAGGATGCTTCTAATTCCTTGCAGCTGGAGGCACTCCTGTTACAGTTAACATCCGTGCTCCTTAACGGTCTTTCCGTCCCCCCAATATAAACCTTCCTTCATTAATTACTCAACCAATAAAGTGATGAGTAATTATTACTCATGATTCTCCAGTGGGCATGCCTCCGCAAGAGGTGGAAAAGACGGTGGCCCTGAACCCTGTTGACTGCCAAAGCCACTTCTCCTCCTGTGCAAAAGCCCAAGAGGCCACTCGCCCTGGTCTCTCCAAAAAGGCAACAAGCTCAACAAAGCACTCTGAACCCAAGCTGCTCCTTTCTAATAAAGTCTGCTCTCTGAACTTTTTCCCCCTTTTACCAAATTACTAAGGCAATTTCCCCCAAAAGCCTCTCATAATAAACATTCTATTAAAAAACACTGATCTCACAGAAATAAAAACCACATTTCTGTCTTCAAGGCATTTAAACTTACAAGCCTATCATTCTATCCTGCAGGCTTGCAAAAACTCTAGTAACTCCAGAATTGAGGTTTCCTACAGTCGTACGCTGTGAAGTCACACAGGTCAGCAGTGTCACAGCGCCTTACGGGATGTCCACATCTCATACTGCGATGCCTGGTTCACACGCTGGTCTCCAGGTGCTTCCGACAGTTTCCAGCCAATGTACTCCAGCCAATGTACCTGGGAGGAACAGGTGATAGCCCAGGTCCTTGGGTCCTGCCACCCATGTGCAACACCCCAGATGGAGTTCCCGACTCCTGGCTTTGGTCTAGCCAGTCCTGGCTATTGAACACACTTAGGGGATGAGCCAGTAGTTAACAATTTTGTCACTCTGGCTTCAAATAAATAAATCGTTTTTGGGTTTTTTTGTTTGTTTGTCTTTTTAAGAGCTTACTTTCCTGGACCCAGCATGATAGCCTAGAGGCTAACGTCCTTGCCTTGTACGTGCCAGGATTCCATACAGCTACATTGGTTCTAACCCCAGCCCCGCTTCCCATCCAACTCCCTGCTTGTGGCCTGGGAAAGCAGCAGAGGACGGCCCAAAGCCTTGGGACCCTGCACCCACGTGGGAGACCCAGAGGAAGTTCCTGGCTCCTGGCTTTGGATCAGCTCAGCTCCAGCCACTGTGGCTGCCTGGGAAGTGAATCAGTGGATGGAAGATCTTCCTCTCTCTCTCCTCCTCTCTGTACATCTGACATTCCAATTAAAAAAAAAAAAAAAAACATCTAAAAAAAAAAAAAGAGGGCCTGGCAGCGTGGCCTAGCAGCTAAAGTCCTCGCCTTGAACACGCCGGGATCCCATATGTGTGCCAGTTCTAATCCCGGCAGCTCCACTTCCCATCCAGCTCCCTGTCTGTGGCCTGGGAAAGCAGTGGAGGACGGCCCAAAGCCTTGGGATCCTGCACCCATGTGGGAGACCTGGAAGAAGTTCCTGGCTCCTGGCTTTGGATTGGCTCAGCATCAGCTTTTGCGCTCACTTGGGGAGTGAATCATCGGACGGAAGATCTTCCTCTCTGTCTCTTCTCCTCTCTGTATATCTGACTTTATAATGAAAATAAAATGTTAAAAAAAGAAAAGAAAATATTTACTTCTCCGTAAAGTCAGATTTACAAGCAGTGAGCTAGAAGGGAAGTGGAGTAGCTGGGATACAAGCCAGCAGCCATATGGGACCCTGACACATGCAAGGCAAGGATTTAGCCACAAGTCTACCAGGATGGGCCCCAAATAAATAAATATTTAAAAGAGGGGAAAAGTTATGAAGGGGTATTTTGGTATGGCACAGTAAGCTGCCACTTGTGACGGCCGCATCCTGTACTGGAGTGCTGGGTGAGTGCTGGCTACTCTGCTCCCAATCCAGCAGAGACGGTCAAGGGGTTGGGTCAAACTCACAAACCACAGCAACACTGCAACAATTCCACTGACAAATGCAAGGAGAATAAAAGGCCAGACTAAAAACAAGCTCCCTCTAAAACAGGCTGCAATAGCTTGCAGGCATCTCTCTCTGCAGAAAAATAACCCCTTCTGGAGACAGGCACTCTGCTTCCAGTACAATCAAGACTCCAGGGTGGGAAGAGGGGGCAAGGTCAGCTGAGGTCCGCCTGTTCTGAGACCACAGCCACCAGGTGCGCTGGAAGAGGGGAGCGGGTGCCTGACTGCAATGCAGAGAACGGCAGGTGGGGTCAGGTGGGCACTGGTCAGGTGGCAGGGCAGGCCCTGTGAGCTGCTGTGGAGGACTGGTGGGTGTAGCAGTTCAAGACTGACCGGAGGAGTCCCAGCTCTGCTCTGATTCTGCCTTCCTGCCGACGCACACCCCGGCAGGCGGCAGGGGATGGCCTAAGCAGCTGGGAACCTGTCACCCGTGTGGGAGACACACTGAGAACTTGACTGAAGTCTTGGCTCCTGGCCGCCCAGCCCCAGCTGCCACAGGCATCGGGGGAATGAGAGCTCCACCTCTCCTTGTGTTTGCCTCTCTGCCTTTCAAACAAATAAAACTTTAAAAAGGAAAACAAAACAGAACAGAACTGCAACTACTCCTTAATGAGCTATCTGGGCCATAAGTTACCAACTTCTTCCTCCTACAAAAACTGCCCCAAGAAGAACTTTCCCAACAAAGATAAACGTGGGTGTACCTCTTACAACAGGATGCAAATAAATTTAAAATTTCTTCAGCTTGCCTTCACAAATGGTATCCTAATGATCAGAAAACAAATCAACCCCAGAACATCTAAAGCAACATTACCATACTTGGTGCCTCCGAGTTTAGGGATGTTGAAGAACTTCTGTGAACCATCACTTAAAGTTTCAATAAGGTACTCAAAGGCAGATCCTACAAAAAATAATAATTTTCATTTTCAACAATTTCTCATGTAACACAGCTACCAAGTATTTTATTTAAAGTAAAAGTAGCATCAAAAATAAAAACAAGGAAAAAAATTAAAAAAAACACCTTTGACCAAGAGAATTAGATATGCTGGCATTTGTATCTGTCCAGGAAGGGGGCCATTAGCCACACAGGAATATTTAGCACTGGAAATGTAGTGAATTAGCTTTATTTTCTTTTAATTAAGCAGACAGCTCACTACTGCTCACCACAGCTGGACAGTATAAGTTGGGACACTTGTCCAGCAAAAAAAAAAAAAAAAAATCTGTCAAGATCACTCATCTCAAATGCCTCAAGTATCTGCAAAAGGACCGTTCAAAGGACTGCAGTTAGGGGTGAGTTTGGGGATGGACATGTCCTGAGAATTTCCTCAGGACAGCAAGGCAGAGAAATCTGACAACTCTACAATTCTATTAGAAAAATCCAGAAGCCAGTTCCCCAGGATTCAAAAACCAAAAAGCCAAACAAAAACAAAAACAAAAACACAACATACAAAATTCTTCTCAGGTAAGACTTCATTACATTGGAGGAACAAACTCCCCACGTGCGCTGTCCTGCTCTCCCCCTTACAAGGCCAGTCCTTGCTGACGCTCACCTCCACCGCCAGGGTCCCTTGAGGTTCCTAACATTGAGGGGGCGTAGTCCCTAACAACCTGGGGGTACGGTTTCTAACAATTTGGGGGTGTGGCTCCTAACATTCTGGAGTGTAGTCCGTAACATTCCAGGGGTGCGGTTTCTAACATTCCAGGGGTGCAGCCCCTAACAACCTGGGAGTACGGTACCTAACAACCTGGGGGTGCAGCTCCTAACATTCTGAGGTGCAGTCCCTAACATTTTGGGGTGCAGTCCATAACATTCCAGGGGTGCTGTTTCTAACATTCTGGGGGTGCAGTTCCTAACATTCTGGGGTTGCGGTCCCTAACATTCTGGGAATGCGGTTCCCAACAATCCAGGGGTGCAGTTCCTAACAGTCGAGGGGTGAGGTCCCTAACATTCTGGGGTTGCGGTGGCTAAGATTCTGGGGGTGCGGTCCCTAACAGTCCAGGAGTGAGGTTCCTAACATTCCAAGTGTGCGGTTCCTAACATTCTGAGGGTGTAGTCCCTAATAACCTGGGGGTGCAGTTCCTAACATTCCGGGGGTGCCGGGAGGTGGGGGTTGTGGCCTCGAGGTCGGAAAGCACGGCTCTATTGTGCCTATTCACGGACGGCGGCTGGCTGGCTGGGCACGACCCTCCCCAATGCGCTGAGCACAACCCACTTGCAGAAGGGACAGTGTCTCTCCTCTTATTATAAAGGAGGTTGTGGGGGGGGAGGAATAACTCAACCCTGAGCGCTCCCCCACCCTCCGTCTCCTCCCAGCTGCCCAGGCGCAGAGAACACAGAACCCCCCGACAGCACGGGATCGAGCCCCGGTGGAGTGCCCGGCCAGGGCCCGGACGCAGGCCGCGGGCAGCAAGCAGCGCAAGGCCCCGGGGTGTGGGGTGGGGTGTGTGGGGGTGGCGACAGCAGAAGCCGAACCCCCGAACCCCCGAAGCTCCTCGGGCGCCGGCCGGGCCACCGCACAGGCGGCCAGGAGCGAGGGACAACAGCAGCAGCCAGACCACCCCGCACCCCCGAGTCCCGCGGCCCGGAACTGACCTGCGCTGGGGGCCTCCATCGCCGGAGACCATATTCTCCCCCGGCGGGGAGTACGGGGGGCCGGCGAGGTGAGGTGAGGGGAGGCCGGGCGAGGAGGGAGGAGCGGTGAGGAAGACAGGACCGGCCTGGGAGGAAGGAAGGAAGCGGTCTCGCGCAAACACCGCGAGAGTCGCCCCAGCTGGCGCCGAACTCCCGCGAGATCTCCAGAAACCTCCGGGGGTGGGGGCGGGGAGGGGAACAAAGACTGGGAAGGGGGCGGGGCTACGCGGCGCAGCCGCAGAGCGAGCTCCGAGGTCGGCGCCCGCAGCGTGGCCCTCACAGTGGCTGCAGGTGTCTGAAGGGGTCACGGGGAAGGTTCTGGCTGGGCGACTCTGGGAAACTGGAGTGGGAAGCGGAACTCCTGGGCATAAACAGCTTAGGAACCGCTTTCTCCAACTCGTGTGACGTGGGCAGCCCACGCGAGAGCCACGTTGTAGGCTCTCAGCTGATTGCAGAGGGAGTAAATGAATTTTTTAAGACTCCGTGGGTGAATAGGGCCACCGCGGCTGCGTTTGTCCGAGCTAGAAACCCCACACGTGTATCCCCTAAGCTTCTTCACCCTCTTCATTGGTCCAAGCTCTAACCTAACTCCCAATTCCCAACCCAGATGGGGAAGACCATCAGTGAGGTCATGCTTGGGGTCTCTAGTGCGTAGATGGGCATTTTCTACAGGAAGACTTCACTGTTTCCCCATCTGGGTTGGGAACCTGATGAAATGCTTCCCTCACGTGCTGTGTTTCAGTGGTTTGACCCCTGAGTGTGAATGTCCGTTGACCGTAGCTCATGTGACTTGGTGACATGCCTTGAGCCTCACAGCTAACGGCAGCAGCATGCACATCGCAGACCTGTAATTAGCTCAAGTCACAGAGTCCACTGTAGACTGTCCCCCCAGTGGCCACAACAAAGCAACCAAACCAACAAAGCCCCAGGCTGCTGCTTTATCTCAGCAGCACTGGGTTTGCTCCGATGACTTGCTGGCACGTGGTTACAAGATGCTTGTGCCATGATGTCATCCTACAAGTTCAAAGGTGTTTATTTAAAAAGACAGAGCAGAGAGAGACCCCTGAAGGACCAGGGCTGGGTCAACTCAAAGCCAGGAGCCTAGAACACCATTCAGGTCTCTCCAACATGAGCGTCAGCAGTTAATGCAATCAGGTCATTGCGCTGTCTCCCCAGGCCTTTAGCAGGGAGCTGGATTGGAAGTGGAACAGCTGGGACTTGAACCAGGACTCTTAAGGGATGCCAGCATCACAAGTAGCCGCTTGACCCACTGCACAATAATGCCAGCTTCCAATATTACTTTTTAAGACAGGTATCATGTAATATCTCTCCTTTATTTTTCTGATATGCACAAGAAATATTATCTACACTCCACCATACAACCATCCATTAAACTCTGAGCTAGAATATAAAGAAAAGAAGAAAGTACTAAAAAATGGCATCTTACAATATGTACTGGCACAAGCGCAGTGAGTGATATGGGGCAATCAGATGCCTGCATCCACATAGACTAAGTTGGGCTTTACAGAATAGGAAAATATTCAACTGACCATGCTCCATGCTGTGCTTATATTTGTTCCTTCAAAATGCAGGCTATGGGCCCAGCATGGTGGCCTAGTGGCTAAAGTCCTCACCTTGCACACGCCAGGATCCCATATGGGAGCCGGTTCTAATCCCGGCTGCTCCACTTCCCTGATCCAGCTCCTTGCTTATGGCCTGGGAAAGCAGTCCAGGACAGCCCAAAGCCTTGGGACCCTACACCCATGTGGGAGACCCAAAAGAAGTTCCTGGCTCCTGGCTTCGGATTGGCTCAGCATCAGCTGTTGCAGTCACTTGGGAGTGAATCATCAGACAGAAGATCTTCCTCTCTGTCTCTCCTCCTCTCTGTATATCTAACTTTGCAATAAAAATAAATAAATCTTAAAAAAAAATGCAGGCTACATGGATAGACCACATGGATAAATACATCTTATCTATGCAAATATGTAATAGATGTGCATATATATAACATATATATCATGAATGGACAGCTTAGATGGAGATTATAAAAATCTGTCGTGTTGACTCAACTATTAGAAATATTGCCAAGATTGATAGGATTGCTTAATGTGTATTTTTATTTAAAAGGCAGCACTGCAGTGAGAGAGAGAGAGAGAGAGAGAAAGGAGAGATAGAGATCTTTCATCAGCTGGTTTGCTCCCCAAATGCCCACACAGCTAAGGCTGGACCAGGCTGAAGCCAGGAGCCAGAAATGTGTGGAGGTTTATTAATTGCGGAAATTTGTCCCCTGAACCAGCCCACTGAATGTCCCAGGGACCCCAAGCTCAAGGTTCTGCAGACTAAGAATGTGACAGGAGGCAGACTTCCTGCTGAGAGAGTAGGCCACCTTGTTGACACTTCTTGTGCCTGGGAGGTGTGAGATGTTGTCACTAGCACCTCTCTATTGTAGCCTGAACTATCCGAGTACATAGTTCTGTAAGATTCCCTTTCTAGTTAGATCTGTTTGCTTGCTGGTGTTGATTCCTGTAACTCATGTTTGCTCAACACAGCCTCTGGAGCCTGGTGACTGTTCCCCCCAATCCCTTGTGATCTGTCATTAGAAGCAGCTTCTGTGCTACCGTTTAGTTAACTTGTAACTTTTACCAGCCTGCTTGCTTTGCAAAAAATTGGCATCAATGGCCCCCAGAAAAATTCAATAAAGTGTGCGTTGGCTCGTCTCACCTGTGCATCCCCTGTGTCCCAAATTTCTTCTCGGCGTGCACATCACACTTCAAATCCTGGTCCACATTAGAGGGACCCCCCCAGACCCAGGTAGGTGGCAGGGACCCAGATACTTCAGCCATCATCTGCTGTGTCCCAGGGTGCAGAAAGCTGGATGCGGAAAGCTGGATCTGCAGAAAGCTGGATGCGGGGGTGGAAAGACCCAAAGCTAGACACTCCAACATGGGATGTGAGTGTTTTAGGCAGTGGCTCAACCCATTGCACCACATCACCTTCCCCCCTCCCCCTTTATTTTTTTTTAGATTTATTTATTTTTATTTGAAAGGTAAATTTACAGAGAGGAGAGAGACAGGGAGATTCCATTTGTTGGTTCACTGCCCAAGTGGCTGCAACAGCCAGAGCTGGACCAGTCCAAAGCTGGGATCCTTGTGGTCTCCAATGCACTTGGGATATCTTCTGTTGCTTTCCATGCACATCAGCAGGGAGCTGGATTGGAAGAAGAGCAACCAGGACATAAACCAATGCACATATGGGATCCAGTTGAGCCATTGCACCAGCCCCTTCTCGCTCTCTCTTTCTTATAAATTAAAATTAATTTAATTAAAATTAATCCATACTTAAACTTTGCCCCTTGTCCCAAGATTGTCCTTTCTAGAAATTTTCTTTCCAACCTTCGAACCAATTGAGTTGGGACAAGCATTACGTTTCCACATCTGTTTTTCCTCCAGTCATCTGGAACCACTCCTTAGCCTCTCATGTGTCCAGCATGGACAGTTTTGAGGAGTCTGGTTTGCTTGTCCCATCCAAATGTACTTTACCTTAGGTTTGCTTAGTTGCTTGCTCGTGACTCAATTCCTGCACTTGGGGCAGGAATGCTCGGTAATAGAAGCGGCATCCTCGTGAGCATGCGTCATCAGGAGTCACCAGAGATCACTTAGGTCCTGTTTTGGTAAACTGAGCCCTGTCTTAACCCCAAATCAGCAAAAATGGAAGTTCAGGTCTATGGGGTCTATGGGACTCCAGAGCCGTGTCTTCAGCCATGTCTACCGCTGGGCAGGTAGAGGTAGGCTCCGTTCCTTCCAGGGGTGAGGTCACGTGGCTTCCCGGTAGCCCTGGCCCTGGGCGCTGCTGTGTCCTTCCACAGCAGAGAAAACCCTTTGTCGGGTTAGGGAGAGTTCCCAAATAAACAGCCTATCTTAAACCTTCACAAACAAGTCCCTGCTGGACCTAAGATAAGGCTAGAGAGCCGCCAGCACTCAGAATAGGAAATCAAAGGAGCCTTTGTTCACCCAAGGCAGGTACCCCAAGGTGTTGTGCCCATGAAGTCCGTAGGAATACAGGTAAGTCGGACACTGCCACCGGTGGCCAGCAGGTGGTGAAGTGTCCTGATGCAGCCCTGCCCCACAGAACCCCGTCCTTGGACCATGCAAAAATTTTATATTTATAGAAAGACCCTTGTTCTGCAGGCAGTTGTCCCCCTCTTAAGGGAAAAGACAGAACTGTCATCAGTAAAATGACATAGGAACAAAGATTTCAAAGTTTCTATCATGCTGTACCCTACAGATATGTGCAAATGTTAGGTATCAATTAATTCTTTTTTTAGTACAAGTATTTATAGTGTAAAATGGATGTACAGCTTATTCTTTGTTCTTTTTTGAGGTATCAAATTTTAAAAATTAAAGCAAATATAAAATTATAACTGGCCCCTCCCCAACCCTGCACGCCTGAGCTCTCTTGCTCTGCTCCCCTTCACTTTGTAAAATTAGGTTCCATCCCCATGTAACATACTTATACATTGCATTTCGTTGTTTTTTTAGATTGTCAAGCATGTAGTTATATCTTAGTTAAATATAAGTCAGATGAGGCTAGGGTTTGTTTGCTTGTTTGGTTCATCAATATCTTTATTGTATCTGAATGAATAGAATTGTGTTGAACTTACTGTACATAGCCAATACATTTATAAAATCAGCAAGAATAAATAAATAAAAATAAAAGCAAAGGGGGTACATCACCATTGTTTAGGCTAAGCCTCCACTTGTGGCAGGAGCATCACATATGGGTGCAGCTTAAAGTCCCGGCTGCTCCACTTCCCATCCAGCTCCCTGCCTGTGGCCTGGGAAAGCAGTCAAGGATGGCCCAAGGCCTTGGGACCCTACACCCATGTGGGAGACCCAGAAGAGGCTCTGGGCTCCTGGCTTCAGAACTGTTCAGCTCCGGCTGTTTCGGTCACTTGCGGGGTGAATCATCGGGTAGAAGATCTTCCTCTCTGTCTCTCCTCCTCTCTGTATATCTGACTTTGCAATAAAAATAATAAATTAAAAAAAAAAAAAACTCATGGGCTAATCCTCTACTTTGCTC